CATCATTATCATCATCATCATTATTAGTACCATCATTATCATCATCATCATTATTAGTACCATCATTATCATCATCATCATTATTAGTACCATCATTATCATCATCATCATTATTAGTACCATCATTATCATCATCATCATTATTAGTACCATCATTATTATCATCATCATTATTAGTACCATCATTATCATCATCATCATTATTAGTACCATCATTATCATCATCATCATTATTAGTACCATCATTATCATCATCATCATTATTAGTACCATCATTATTATCATCATCAGTATTAGTACCATCATTATTATCATCATCATTATTAGTACCATCATTATCATCATCATCATTATTAGTACCATCATTATCATCATCATCATTATTAGTACCATCATTATCATCATCATCATTATTAGTACCATCATTATCATCATCATCATTATTAGTACCATCATTATCATCATCATCATTATTAGTACCATCATTATCATCATCATCATTATCATCATCATCATTATTAGTATCATCATTATCATCATCATTATTAGTATCATCATTATTATCATCATTATTAGTACCATCATTATTATCATCATCATTATTAGTACCATCATTATTATCATCATTATTAGTACCATCATTACTATCATCATCATTATTAGTACCATCATTATTATCATCATCATTATTAGTACCATCATTATCATCATCATCATTATTAGTACCATCATTACTATCATCATCATTATTAGTACCATCATTATTATCATCATCATTATTAGTACCATCATTATCATCATCATCATTATTAGTACCATCATTATCATCATCATCATTATTAGTACCATCATTATTATCATCATCATTATTAGTACCATCATTATTATCATCATCATTATTAGTACCATCATTATCATCATCATCATTATTAGTACCATCATTATTATCATCATCATTATTAGTACCATCATTATTATCATCATTATTAGTACCATCATTACTATCATCATCATTATTAGTACCATCATTATTATCATCATCATTATTATTAGTACCATCATTATCATCATCATCATTATTAGTACCATCATTATCATATCATCATTATTAGTACCATCATTATTATCATCATTATTAGTACCATCACTATTATCATCATTATTATTAGTACCATCATCATCATCATTATTATTAGTACCATCATTATCATCATCATCATTATTATCACCATCATTATCATCATCATCATCATCATTATCACCATCATTATTATCACTTTGACCATCATCACCATCATTATCACCATGACCATTATCATCACCTGACCATCACCACCATCATCATGACCACCACTGTTAACACCATCTTCACCACTTGTTCCAGGGTTTCCAACAGGAATGAAATGGGGCTTCATGAATAAACCTTCAGATGGAAGGTAAACACAATTATGCTGTATTAGTTCCCTCTGTAGTAACACTGGATCAATAAGAGATGATCCTTACTGGATGTTTAGAACTGATAGAGTTATCCAGTATAAATAAAGTTCTGATCAACTCCAAGTGTTTTCTTGTTCTGTGTAGGCCCAAGTACTTGGTGGTGAATGCTGATGAAGGTGAACCAGGGACATGTAAAGATCGTGAAATAATGAGACATGATCCACACAAGCTGGTTGAAGGATGTCTCGTGGCTGGAGCTTCAATGGGTGCTCGAGCAGGTCCATCAAGTTTATCATAGACTACATTGTCACTGTGCTGGATATCTTTCCATAGCGATGTGAAAAGTTGTATATTTCTGAAAGTTGTATATTCCGTATCAGATAGATGATTTTCGCTATGGACAGCTATCCAGTAGAGTGTAAACATAGCTGGCCTAGTCTTTGTATATTATACATCTGCCTGAAAATACAAAGTTGAAGCTGCATCACCTACAAAAGATGAATTATCATACCAAGTTCATCTATACAGATCGTTATGAGTGAAATTTTGATCTAGATATGCCTGGACAAAAATTTCATCACAGCTTGAAACAGCATCACAAAATTAGTAATATTCCGAAGTTTCGTTGCGAAATGTTGTAAAATGCGGATAATATAGCCTTGCGAAGTTTGCCGTTTTTCAGTCATTTTGTATTACAAACGGGAAATTGATAATCAGTGTTTGATCATCTGATTACCAATTTCCCGTGCGTAATGCAAAATGACTGAAAAACGGCAAACTTCGCAAGGCTATATTATCCGCATTTTACAACATTTCGCAACGAAACTTCGGAATATTACTAATTTTGTGATGCTCTTTCAAGCTAGATCAAAATGTCACTCAAAAGGGGAAAGGTCTATTACTTCAATTGTTTGATGT